TACTTGATTAGGACTTCTTATTAGGAATAGACCCGAAAGGGTAAGCTTAAATACAGAACAGAATTTCCACTCAAGCACACAGAGCGACGTCCGGCTTCAAGGTAAGCGTCAGGTCAAGCTTGTTTGAGTGTGTTATGCCTGTCGGTGAACTCGAAGCTCTGTAGCGAGGGTTCATCCGGCAAGGCCAAGAGACTTTGTGTATTGGCCGATTATTATCGGGAGGTTTTACGTGACGGCTTATTGTTGCCTATTTGCACGACTGGGAGTGCTTGAATTGCCTCCCTTTTATTTCTTCCAGCCGAGTGCTGAACACTCGGTGATCTCGTAAAAGGCTTACCCGTGCCTGGTACCCTTCCGCTGTTGGGACCCCGAGGATTCAAAACACCTGCTAGCTTTGCTCGTGCTAGTAGCGTGTTCTTATTTTACTGGTTGGCCTATATAAGTAGTTTACAAGGTCCAGTTTGTCCCGGTGCAAGGGCAGAACTGGGGTCTTCAGGTCCGCCCGAACGATCGTTTACTATCCTAGTAGACGTATTGTTGTGGGAACATCCTAACTACATCTGTAGCTAGAGTTCACGTGGGATTTTCAACACCACACATGTACCCGGCCAGCCTGTGAAATGGCGCTGTCAGCTCAGAATCGAAGAAGAGATCGATGGAAACCAGCACAGGCGCCAAGTAGTTGTACAAGAAGAAATGGTAAGTTTAGAAGGGGGCGCATATCGAGAAAAAGTCTATGAACACGCGCTAATAGAGACCCGAAATCGTGCAATCGAGCACGAAAGACACATAGAAGGCCGCATGAACCAGTTGGTCGCTCACAGCGACCACCAGCTAGCTCAAGCTACCGAAGCCTCAGAGAGAAGAATTGAGCAGCAATTACAAGCGCAGCTAAATCAGTCTCATGAAGAGATTTGCTTAAAAGCGAAAGCTGAAACGCTGCATCTGCAGAACTCACTTCAAGTTGCGTTGGAGAAGGCTGAGACGGCATCTCACGAGCGTCATAAACAACTGACAATAGTACAAGAATCGCAGATATCAGAGTTGTCGGAGCAATTGAAAGCTCAAATTGCGACAACGTTTCTTGAGCAGGCATCGACAAGTACATCATTAATAACCGATCTGGAAAACAGGCTCACACAGGCCAATAATTTAATAAAAGCAGATATAAGAGCATATGCTACCCATGTGGACACTCGTATGGAAGACACAGAGAACAACGCGCGTATATACACAGACAACCAAATATCCGATATCGAAACCCGGCTTCAACAAAAGCTCGATAGCGCTACCCAATCTCATCGCTCAGAAGCGAGACAGCAATCCGCTGATATCGCTCACCAACTGCAGCTGCAGCTTCAAACTACGCAGAAACGAATCGAAACGAACTATCGCTTAATAGAAAGCAGAATTCAATCGAAACAGGACCAACGAATTGGAGAGATGCAACAACAAACAGACACGCAACTTCGGCAATCGCTTCAAAAGTACCCAGGCCGAGATACCTCAACGCGTTGAGACTTTGGTAAAGTTGAGCTTGGCACGGCGCAACGACTCACTTCAAGACCAGCTTCAACAAAAGCTTTTGGAAGCGCAAGCCCAGCACCTCCGTGATATAGATCTAAGTACCAGAACTTTCTCGCTGCTATTAGTGCAAAACTGGACAAGGCAGCGGTGGAAACGGCCGGCTTACACACAAAACAAGAGCTGTTTGAAAGTAGAATCGAACGAGCCATGCAACAGACAAAAAAAGGAGTCAACGAGCACCTGACGTCAATCATTCTCGGCTTGGACAAGCGGCACAATCCATGGCAAACCACACCCGTTGCAACTATCATTGAATCCTCTCAATATGTATCAGTTGCTAGCGAGACCCAAGCACCGATGTCATTAGAGACGAGACAACTCGAGATTCCTGATGCAGTAGTAAATTCACCAAAACGAGGAACAAGACCACTACCTGACACGCAACATGGCACTCAAGTACTATCGGGTGGCATGAGCGAGTCCCAAGAGTCAGTAGCACAATTTCAGCAAGCTAACTATGCTGAGAATAATTCATCGTCACCGCGCTGGGATGGCCGAGCACAACAATCATTGAATCAAGCAGCTTTAAGCAGACTGAATTTGCTTGAGGCTCGCAGGGCTGCACAGCGTGGTGTGGAATTACGAATTCGAGCAAGGTATGCAGCATTACGACGAGAAGACATGTTGCGAAAGTGATTCATCTCGCCTCACTCATTTAACTCGATCCGTCTCCGCTCTTGACCAAATCACATCAACAGTTCATTTCGCTCGACTACATTATCCGCGGTAGTGTTTCAGCAATGACATGTATCACAACTTCCTACTCAGAAGTGCTATCGATGCATTTGATACTTATACTAGCCCTTTAAACAAGGTTAGTTGGAGCAGTAACGAGAGCCGCCTCCACGGAAGCTTAACGCTGATGCGGCATCATGTTGCATCTTCAAATGTGCAATCAGCGCCGATGAAAGGAGCAGAGTCGATTGCGAGATCGTTGCAGAGTCGTTTGTACGCGTCGGGAGCGATGACGGGCGATACATAGCCCTCCAGGAAATGCCACTGATGCAGCGTCTCGCTGACTTATTCCGTGAGCGTTTGAAGAACGTGAAGACGTTCGTTCGAAGAGCTGCGGTGCGCGCTCTCGAAGCGCTTCTAAGGGCCCACGCAGGCGACACGGTTCACGCATAATCCAAGAAAGACCAATTTGACATTTATGCGCGCGGTACAGACTCGTCTTTTGTTGTCCGTGCGCAGTCTATCAAGTCATTGTCAGCAATTCTACTCAAGTTCCCACGCGATGAAGAAGCGCACAACCTACGTGTTCTCCCGCTGTATGTTGACTCGGAGACAAGTGTACAATCTTGATCGTTGGAAGCGACAGGAAGAGCTGTGTTTGACCGAGTCCTAATGTGTGTCGAGTCATGTCGTAACAAGGCGCTACGAAAAGCCCCTGACTCCGTTTGGATACAAGTGGCGCATCTTGATGGCGTCATGGCTGGCTGTTTGCAAAAGGCACTGCGAATGCTCATCAAGAGTGACATAATCGACGTCGAGAAGATCATCAAAACGTGCGTCTTTGACATCGAGTAAAGCGTCAGTCTGTACAGGAAGAAGTGTAGTAGGAATGTCGAAAGAATTAAATAAGTCGTTTCAACCCACGATTTTAGTGCCAAACTCACTAAGTACGATGCGTTTATTCATATCTAATACATGTATATATATATAATAAATCACAGGCCGACGTCACAACGCCAGTGTGTTCGCGTCAAGATGCTTATTAGATGAGAATAAATTATCATCTTAAACCTCTATAATAATATAATCCAATGGCCGTGGCTTTTTCAATGGCCGATTAGCCGAAACCCCTTGTTTAAACCCCATTTTGACCAAGCCAGGTCATAACGATTAGTCCCTGACTGCCAACACTGGGTGACCGTGGTAATACACGTGTCGTAGTCAGTGTCTCCGCCAGCGCAGAAGTCGGCGCCACCCTCCGAGTAGCCGCACGGGCAACACACCTGCTGGGCAGCGTGGACGTCGCTATCACCCGAGTCGAAGCTGATGATGTCAATGCTGACGCCGCTGGAGTCCTTGGCTTCGGTCGTGCAGACGTAGACGTGGTCCTTGAGCACCCAGTGGTCGCTGGGACTCGTGTACACTTGATGCCAATTCAATTTGTTCTCCAGAGCCGTGATGAGCTTGTTTAAGTTGCTGTATTTGGCTACTGTCACACGCGAGCAGATGTAATCGGCATGACCGTAGTCGAGGCTACTCATACGCTGATGAAGAAAGTTCCAGCCAACTTGTCGCCGTCGAACGTGCCATCGAAGGTGAAAGTGAAACGCGAGTCATGGTTATCTTTGGTGCTGAAAGCTGTCCTCTAGACGTGGAAGGTGATGAGAATGGCCTTGGATTTAACGTCAGCGTTGCCAACTTGCGTGTTCATGAGCCTGAACGCGACATCCTCGGCAACAATATCAAAGTTTTCGCACGTTTCAGAGCGCGTGCAGCGCGAGTCCGTGGACACGGTAGTGCCCCAGTCTCCGATAGCAAAGGCTGCAAGCAAGTACGTCATTGATTATTTCTACTGAGCATGTATCAAATATGGACGAGACATTTACATGGCGAATTGGCAAATAGTATGTGTGTATTGGAGAAATGAAAAACATGTAAGATACATCTGAATCAATCGTCTTCAACCTCAATATTCTCGGAAAAGCAAGTTGCCATGACATTTTCCCACTCAGCTGTGATGTTCAAATAATTGTGATCTTCCTCTAATGGCACCAGCACATTCGACGGGATATTAGCTCGATATTCGTCTCCTCGAAGTCGAGGACATTGCGTAACATCGATAAACTTCCTGTTCCGGTTAAAAAATGAGCACATGTCAATGTTCATTGCTGAGATTGACGCTCGCTGACTAGTAACCATCATACCACTGACTCCAAAATCTCTCTCGATCTGTGCCGATGATGTTGGGACAGCGAATATTATACGAGCAACCGTGGGGAGAAACTGGTAGATGCTGCTCGTTTGGCGACTCCAAAACGTAAGGATGTGCTCAGCTCCATTTTTGTCGTCGCTATTCATTGCTACAGGTTCTGAAATCCATCGCTCTAACTCTTCTTCCACACGAGCTTCCTGAACATCTCGGGAGGCTGTCTGAGGGGCTGCTTCGTTGTGCTCAAAGAAGTCCATGAGATCTTCAGAGAAGATTACAGGTGGTTCATTCGCAGCCGGCGCTGGTGTCCTCTCAATTTCTAGAGGGGGTACAGCAGACATCATTAGATACTTAAGTCGATCTAGAATTGTTTTTTTTACGAAAGTAACCATTCGGGAGACTTCTCCTCTTGTAGTCGTTTTTCCGGATTAGCAGGATCAATTATTAGTTGTTGGTTGCACAAGCATATGCCCGAAGAGAGGACGCCATCAAGATTCTCCAATTTCGGGTGCAGTAATAACTGTGTCTCGAAGATATATGAAGTCTTTCGTACCTTAGTTAGTTTTGTATAGCGAGAGAAAAAGCGTTCATGGAAGGCATCAGCGAGAAGTTGTCGAGTTTCGTTACAACAGGTGTCAACTCCACTACAGCAAAATAACGTGGTGGTTTAAGATGCTTGGTGCGATAATCCATGAGAGCAACAGATGTATCAAGTACTTGTTGTCGGATCTTGAACAGTGTGAGAAGAACTTGGATTTGGTTTGCAGATTCGCTTTGGGCTCTCTTGTTATGTACAGTTATAGGTTCAAGGAGACACACCAGCTGAACCAAATTCAGCTTATCAGTAGCTAGCGGAAACCCTTCCGGGGGTGCAAGTCCGGCCCGCAGTGCTTTGGCGATACGTTCATCGAACCAGACCACCAGTTGATCCCACTTCTCTAGTATTCTCAGGATAACTTTAGTTAGACCCATAAACCGATGTCGCTTGAATCATACAAGCGCTCGCGACTTGCCTTTCCCTGTCATCTCGCACAATTCAGCAAATAGTGACCCCATAACTTCCACGTGACGCACCTGAAATACCGTTCGACCAATTCGCGATATCAGCTCTGTCATTGATTTATTCTTCGACTTAGTTTTATTATTAACGATTCCACAAGCAGCTTTAGTTGCAGCATTCGTCATGTGTGGAATGCACCATCCCAT